TGGAATACCATTAATAATAAAAGATGGGTCATTGCCCATCTTATAAATTTGCATTTTCTTTTGAATAATGATATTGAGCATCTTTTCATATATTAGAAGTTTGTATATCTTTTGTCTTATGCATTGACGATTATAGCTAGCTAAAATTTGGTCTCTTAGTATTTTGCTCCAAAATTAAAAATTTTATTTGCTAAACTTGGTGCTTTGTGTGATTTAATTTTAGAAACTCAGTCAAATGAGTATTTCTATACTCTTAATTAAAAGAGTAAGATGGGGCTTCCCTGGTGGCGCAGTGGTTGAGGGTTCGCCTGCTGATGCAGGGGACACGGGTTCGTGCCCGGTCTGGGAGGATCCCACATGCCGTGGAGTGGCTGGGCCCCTGAGCCATGGCCGCTGAGCCTGCGCGTCCGGAGCCTGTGCTCTGCAACGGGAGAGGCCACAACAGTGAGAGGCCCGCGTACTGCAAAAAAAATAAAAGAGTAAGATGACTATGAAATACGTGCAAAACATAAACATAACTTTTTTTAAAATTGAGTGTCTGTTCATTGTGAGGAACAGTTTTAGACCTTTAATGTAGCTCTAAAATTCACATAACAAAGAATTTACCATATCTTAATAGGAGGGTTTCTGCCATTAAAAGTGAAAACTATACTTAAATGCTTTTTCGTAATTTACCTAAACGCCTTGCTACATTTTTAGCTTGGAAAATTCACATTGTTTCTATTTCTTCTATCTTCTTAAATCAGTTATTAGTGCCTGTACTTAAATATAATTTATCATAATAGCACTTCATATTTTTCTAGGAATTTGATAAGATGAGGCTTCACATACGTGTAGAAATATTTTCTAAAATGATATGAATGCTTAAATTTAATAGTTTTGAGGAATTAAATGAATCGACTTCAGTCTCTCCTGCATTGGTCACAGACTGAAGGCATGCTCCCTGAATCTGGCTCGCTGTAGCTGAATGTTTGCACCAGAAATAGGAAAATCACATGTCCTTCTTGCCATAGCTTTTTTGAAAATGTCATTTTGAATATTCTGATCTTACCTTGGGTTTAACTCTCTGTTATTACGCTAGCTGCTATATTTTCTCCACCCTTATAACTTCCAAAGGAGATAAATGGGTTTGAGATATAGAGCCTAGACATTTGGGATTTGAGGTTTGATAATGCCCTAATTGGTTAAAGATAATACAAGGAGATTTTTAATGTCCGTCCACAGTAGTCTCGAATTTACTTACTGAATGTTACTCAGATTTTAGTTTCCTTGTTTTTCTTTCAAACCTTAGTTTGTATATTGATTGTATATTCTGGGAACTTTGCTTCAGATATTTGTGCTACTTTTGAAGAAGAATCTGTTACAAGATGAATTTCTAATTGTATTATGTATCTGTAGTCATATTTTATTATTCCTTTTGGTAGCACAGAACTTTGAAAGCAACTTTTGAAGCATCCAGCATTGAGAGTCCTACATGTCACTACTTCAAGTACAGACTGACAGTCTTGAAAGCCATGGTTGTTATCTTTGCCCTATGTATGTGCTGTTCTTCTGGTATTAGAAAATAGCATCACACAGATCTTCATAGGGAATAGTGTGAAACAAATTTGACTTGAGGAATTGCTCAAGAAGTAGTTTGGTACTTTTTAGTATGTACCCTACAACTTTGATCATGGACTCAACTATTAATTTTGTTTTTGTTAAATCAAGTGTTAGGATAAATAAATTTTTTTTCCATTTTGATTAAAAGCGTAGGGAAGGAAAAGGGTCTGCTTGAGGCAAATCTTTCTTTTTTAAGATTTTAGATCTTAATGCTTAGACTGTAACTCTAAAGCATTATCAGGGATTTGAGGCCTATTCTAGATACATAGAAATCATTTATCTAGTCCAGGTCCTTCACTTTATAGACCTGGGAACTGGCTTAGTGCTTCTCAACCTTGTCTGTGGTCAGGGACCAGTTTTTTTCCTTCCCCAATGCATGGCAGGCCAATAACTCTGTAAACTACAATAAAGATGAGGTACTGGAAAAAGTAATTTTAAAATGACACACATAGTTTTAAATGCTTCCTCTTAATTTCTGTGGTTATCTCAATGTCGATGGATTACAGAGAGTTCGAGGACTAGAACAGTCCATGGACCACACTTTGTCTATTACTGCCCACACTTTATCTACTCCTGCCCAAGGTCGAGGTTGGCAGACTATGACCATGGGCCAAATCCAGCTCACCCCTTGTTTTTTGTATGTCCTGTAAGCTAAGAATTGTTTTTACATTTTAAATGATTTTTAAAATACACAATAATAACAATATTTTCTTATATATGAGAATTATACAGAATTCAAATTTTAATAAAGTTTTATTGAAACAGAGTCACACACATGCCTTTAAGTATTGTCTGTGGCTGCTTTTCCTCTGTAATGATGGGGTTGAGGCAAGGCTGAATAGCTGAGACAGAGACCATATGGTCTACAAAGCCTAATGTATTTTCTCTCTGGCCCTTTACAGAAAAAGTTAAGATCTGAAGGTTTGGCTCTAGGTCAAAGCAATGAATTAGTAGTTAGTGGTAAAGTTGAGAGTACAAATACATTTTAAAATGTGCTTTAAATATTAGTATTAGCTGATATGTATTGTCAGGCTCTGTGCTTAGTACTTTTGATGCTATTTTTTGTTCCCATTTAATCTCCCCAGTGCTGCCCTTTTATAAAAAGTTAGGTAAGTTTAGATCCCTTGTAGTCTGGTTATGGATACCTTTATTGCTCCTAAAACTCTTAACTCTACTGAGTTTTGTGGGTTTTTTACCCATATCTGGTGAATTAAAATGGTTCAATTATTTTCTAATGTGGATTTTGTTATCAGCATCTGGTTTGGAAAATTCAGCTTCTTCCCTGTTGCTACATAACTCTGCAGTGATGTTTCTGTGTGTTCAGGTCCAATGAATGAGATGCATATGACTCAAAAATGTTTAGAAAACAGATATTTCTAGTGAAAAGATAACTCCTTTCAAAGTCAACTAAAACAAAGCAAAACTGCAACTAAGCTGTAATGGCAGATTTCTGTTGCAAAATAGCAAAGATATAATAGGTAAGGCTGAGACTTTAGGTGACTTTTGGAGGAACAATAAGGCTTTCTATGTTTTGCCTCTACCACGCATTAAGCTGCAAAGTAAAAGCTCCCACCATATTATCATCAAGGATTGTTAAACTACGTTCTTATACTTCTTGTTTAAAGCAGGTTCTGAAGTTCTCGAAGTATGCGATAAAAAAACTCAGCTTTTCATGGTAGCTGTCATTTCTTTGTTTTCCTACTTTTTGCATGTGATCACTCAGCATCTAAATAAAGATATAGCGATAGCTGTCATCTTTACATTTGATACATGAGCTTGCTTCATGATAAAGACCCTTTACAAGCCAAATCTTCATGTTGGGATTTCTTCCTGGAATAAAAAATATATATATTGTTGTGAAAGCTTATTCATTATGATGAAAGAATAACTACAGTTTCACATTATGGTACTTGCTATTTTGTGCTACTTTTGTCACTTTATAAACATCTGGAAAAGAATTATGTTCATTGCTTACAGTCAAGAGTGAAAGTCTTAGCAAAATCTCACTGCATCTTTTCAAGCCACGGCTAGTTTTTGTTATCCCAAGTCTGAAAGTATCCAGGATTTAGTGCAAGAGATGCTGATGCATGCTGTCCCAGCAGCTGCGTCCCAATTCTAGATAAAGCTATTCCTTTGTACCTTATAATAAAGCCATCGACTAGATGGCTTATGTACTAAAGGGAGAAGAAGAGCTTTATAAAGCTCTGTACTTAGTAATATATGAGGCTTGCCTTCCAAATATTCCTAAAGAATGTATGTACTTTAGCATGGGACTGTTAATGAATGAAAATCTGGGACACATCAACAGTCATTATATATAACATGTCTTTAACTATTTATTTAAATTTAATATTTCTGCTTTGTTTTAAATTTATGCTATAGAATATTGGTAAATGGTAACAACTCCTGTTCTCTCCAGGAGTACACAAAGTGTTAGATTTGAACTGTTAGAATAACTTGTAATTGAACTTTGCTTATTAGACTAGTTTTTAATATATTTATTAGTTTAACCATTGGTTGGGTAGTGTTATAGCAACACCCACCCTCCCCTCTCCACCATCCCCACCCCGCCCCTATACACACACATACCAGATGTAGTTGAGAAATGTTTTAGATTAATAAATTATATCTGGATTTTACTTAAACAGTGATTCTCTCTTTTGGAAGCCTACACATCTCAAAATTCTCTGTAGCTACTTTTTACCCAATATAGCATGTGTAACATTCATTCCTCAGCATATATCATAGTGATTGAATTTCTGATTCTAAAAATTTTTGATGGCCAGAATTATTGTGGAAGGCAGTTCCTTTCTGCAGCTCGGCTGCAGGGAACCAGAGTTGCATGCGTTACTGTGTCTGGTAAACTTCTTGGAAGCAAGCCAGTATGTTCTGATGCGTTTCCATACATGTAAGCAGTGAGCACTAAAAGGCTTGCACAGCATTACAGCTGTTCCAAGACGAGGAAGCGGTGGGAAATTCAGCAGTGAAAAATTCAGCAGTGAAGCAGCCGCAGCAACAAGCAGCCACAGTGGTAGTAAAGACAGGGCAGGCTCATAGTGAGAGGATTTCACAGCGCGAGGCAGCGAGCATACAGCTCCGCATCCTTCTGCCTGAAGGAGGCAAACCCAAACTGTCTGTTGCAGGATTTTTCTAGTTTCGTGTTTATGATGTTAAGTCATGTGATTATACTGTACCACAAGTTGCCAACTTCGCTTTACTCTAGAGAGGATCCTTTGCTGCAGAGCTTTTTTTTCTTTTTCTTTCTTTCTTTTTTTTTTCTTGAAAGAGAAAAAATTGTGCAATGTATGTTTATGCCTACACCATGCCGAGGCGGCACTTACCAGTAAATAATCTTTGTATCCCTGAGGTAAGATACTGTTTCTGCTTTCCCTGCACAGTGCTGCTGCAGCACGGAGCTGATCCAAACATTCGGAACACTGATGGGAAATCAGCCCTGGACCTGGCGGATCCTTCAGCAAAAGCTGTCCTTACAGGTAAGAAAACAGAGCTGCCCGATTATTTTATCTACTAGCTATTGGATCTATTTGCTTGCTTTTATAAAATCTTTATGGTCTGAATTTTATTTTTTTTTTTACTGATAAAAGCTCAACAAATATATATGCCATTATCTCTACTTTATTATTGATTTGTTATATTAACTGTTTTCGTTAATCGCTATACTGGCATAAGCATAAGTAATAGGATTACTTATTATACTTAGAATTTCTGAGAATTACAGCATTAAATGATAACATAATTATTCATGCTTTGGACTTTTTTTTTTATGGTTTGGATTGTAATTTCCTATACCTCATCTTCTCAGTTGATTCTTTTGAAGACCTTCACTATTGAGCAAGCAAGGGCATTTGTATTACTTTATAAAAGTAGTTTTGATCAGAAAGACAACCTGCTGCCTTATTGCTTACATCAATGGTTAAATAAAATATGATGCCGCTCCTCCCTTGCCACTCTGTTTATACTTTTATCATTATCTTCTCCCTTTTACCATGATAGCAAAGTACTTTTTAACTGAGGCAGTGGATTACCTTCTTTCTTCAGATAGTGAAAAAATTTTGGCTTAAGTATTGGTTTTATTAAGGCAAATGTCAGGAACCAACAAAGGAAATGCTGGAATAGAAAGGCTCTCTCAATAACAACATAGGAAATAATGCTATAAGTGATGTGATATTGAGCAACCGTTTTCACTGATCTTCATTCGCAGAATGCTGCATTGGATCTATTTTTGTTTTTATTCTCAGCATCTGAGTTCTGCTGCCTTTGCCTTCTTTTACTTAACTGACATTTATAATTTGGAGCCTCTGTCACTGCAGTACTCACAGTATTGTTTTAGGTTGTATGAAAGTAAATGACTTTTAGCTTCCTTTTAAATTTGTCCAGGTTTGAAGAAAATAAATCTTTTATTCACTTCTGAGTCCATTTTTAACAAAGATTCTGAGGTGAATGGAAAATATCTATATACAGAAAGCTTTGAAAATATGTGGAATTTTGCTTAATTACTCTGCATGGAAAGACAACTTCCCTCAGTGTTAAAATTAACATAATCTCTGCTAAATCAGAGTAATCTGATTTATCTAAATTAATAAGAGTTTAGGTGATTTGGTTGCTGAATCATGATAACATACACTAGAGGAATAAAGCTATTTTAAACCAGTGTAGATAAGAAGAAATTTAAATATAATTATAAAGTTTTAAATAATGAAATTAAAGTCTGTAGCCTCAGGGCTGCTGTTTAGGTTCTGCAGCCTTTCAGTCTCTTCCTTTAGCAAAGCCCCGGGCAATGATTGCAGCCTTGGAGTGGTCTCTGACCAAAGGAGAAAATTCATAGTACTAGAGGGATATTATAAATGCTGACCAAGACTGTCTCTGTATCTGTGTCCTCTATCTGACCTTTCCTTCTCTTCAATCCTCAACACCTGCCTTGTCCGTTTGTTAGATTTGTCCATTTGTTCATTTAATGCAGCACTGCTTTAGATCCACTTTCACTTTTCTTAAAGACAAAGTTTGAATATAAGTTATGAACAGCAAGAAGCTATCTTCTAAGTGGAAGTGAATTTCAGGGGAGGTTATACTGGCTGTTAGTTTGGGAAAGAAATTTGGCAGAATAACTCATAGAGACCAAATCTTCCTGGAGGACAGATACCATGTCTGTTAAACTTCCCTGGAAAAGCATCTAGCACTGTATTTGGCTTAGATAGGAAGATATTAAATTCTTCTTGGTCATAATACTGAGCTGATTAATTGTTTTTTTCACAAATATGCTCTCTTGGAAATGACCTACAACTTTTCAGATATGATTTAAAAGAAAAACATTCTAGTGGAAAATATAAGCTAATGATATTTACACACTCGGGTTATATAATGCAGTGAAATATATTCCAAAATGTTTTTCTGCCCATGCAGGTTCTCTTCTAAGCAGTTCTTTGCGATGGAAAGAATTCCATTCTGATGGAATTATGGTGGAAGTATTATTTCCAAAGTTAAATTTAAAAGATTGAGCAGTGATAAAAAGAGAATCTTTTGAAAGTCTTAATTTAGAGTTATTAGAGATTATTCTAGATGATGTGTCATTATTTTTATGCCAGATGTAGTTGTAGTACCATTACTTAACCTTGAGGGTGAAGTTTCTGTTCTTTATTTTTTTCGTCTTTGGGAATTTAATTGCCAAAGATGACTTCCAAAATTTTTTATGTTACTGCTTTTGTGCATTGGCTAAAATTATGTATAGATATATGTATATTCCTTAAAGGAAATTAACAAAGTGAAAATCTCTCTTACCGAATATTTTAAAATAAATAAATGACTAATACCCTCTTCCGCATAAAGAATGCATGAGGTTTTACAGAGCTGTATAAAACAACAACATACCCTTAGTCTTACAGCTAAGGGAGCCCAGCATATAGCCATCTGCTTTGAATAGTGCACTTAGGTATTTTAAAGAGAATAGTCAATTGGAAAGACTCATTAAACTCTTTGTTGAATTATTAAGTGAATGATTTGCTTAGAAGAGATCTTGAGGGTTTTTTGTTTGGTTTTGGTTAATGACTGAAGTTCTGGGCAGTCAACTGAAGGACTTGGAGGTGGTTTTGTTTGTTTATTTTTTGTTTTTTAGGAAACAAGGATAGGAAAAGCCTAAACGAGCCTTGTAAATTTCATTGAAGAGCAGTTTCAGTGTGTTATGATTATGGATTTTTAAAAAATTACTTATTTTGACCTTTTTTTCTAGGTATAAAAAATACATTCATTTAGAAATTAGGGAAAATAGGAAAAGTACAAAAAAGAAAAAATTACTCATTATTCTACCACCTACAGAGAACATTCTGGTATATTTTATTTATAATTTTTTCTTAGTATACACACCCCACATTCTTCTTTCTCTTTAATCAAATCAGCCTTATACATTACATATTGCTTAATAATCTTTTTTTTTAATTTAGTTATATGAATATTCCCAGAAGGTGCTAAGTATTCTTCTGCAACATGAATTTATAAATTTCATGGTATCCTTCTATGGATATATTTTAGTTTTTTGAACTAATCCTCTAGTATTTACCATTTAGGTACAGTGTTTTCATCCTTTATTCTTCCTTGTGAATTTAGAGTTATTTTGTCAATTCCATTGGAATTATGCTTCTTTACCATATTCAGACTTAGCATCCACACACATGTATCTCTCTATTCCTGAATGAAGTATGTGAGGATTTGGTGAATGAGGAGCTTCCTTTTGAAAGGGCTGCGCTGCATGTGGTATTACTTTGCCAGAGCTACATGTAAATTAAAGGTGGTTGACAAAGGGAGTGTTCATTGAAGAGGAGAAGGATGTAGGAGCATTTGTTAATCATGTAAAGGGGATTCTGTGGGGTGCAGTAGGAAGTTGGGTCATAAGAAGAGGTGACAGCAGATTGAGGCTGAGAGTTTGGGAAAGGATAGATGGCCAAAGGAGAGTTATCGTTGGCAGAACCGAGGATGACAGGGATGTAAAGTGAGTGAGTTTAGGTGGTCACGAGGTTGCCAAGGTAATTCATCCCAGCAGTTTCCTAGTAGATTTAGGGATAGGGGAATAAGGGAGAGGGATATATTTGCGCCAGGGTTTCTCAGGAATAAACTTTTGTCTGGATTCATTGCACTTCTGAGGAAATTCTAATCTGTGATTGATGGGCTGGCTCCCTTTCTAGAAGGAATCAGCTGTGGCTCAGGCTAGAGGCAATGTTGAGGGGTCTGGTATGTGCTTGCTGAGCCTGGTGTGTTAAATCAGCAAGCTATATCTGGAATCCTATCTCTTTTTTGTTGTTCTTCTTCTTCTTTACTGCTTCCTACTGCTTTTCAGATAAAACGAAAACCTTCAGCATGATCAGCGAAGACTTAAATGATCTGGACCCGGCCTCGGTAGGTTTGACTGCTAGGTTTTGCTTAAGCCAAAATTTAGGATTCCTTTCTTCTTCTCACGTTTCGAAAGCAACCTATCAGTAATTCAGGTCTACCTACCATACTTTCAAATCCCCAGTCCAGCCATTTCTTACCAGCTTCACTGCTCTAGCCCTTGTACACGCCTTTCGTCTTTCTTTCATGACAGCGGTAGCTTCATAATGGGTCTCTCTGCCTCCACTATAGCTAGAGTGGTCTTTCTAAAGCATAAATCAGTGCTGTGATTAGAAAATTCATTAATATATTCTCATTACCCCTGAATAAAATCCAGACTTTAACCCTAGCCGACCATGATCGGGCCCCTGCCTTGCATATCTCTGACCTTGTCCTGTACTGTGTTCTCCCGTGAGCTCTTTGCTTCAGCTACAACTGTATGCTTGCTGCTCCTCACACAGATGAAGCCCCTTTCTGTGTCTGGACCAACACGTGCTCTTTACTAAAACTGGGACAGTGCCCCAGAACTTCACATGGGTCATCAGTCAAATCTCCACTCAAATGTTTACTCCTCAGAGAAGCCTTCTTGTTCTCAATCCCATTAGCTTACTTCATTTTCCTTATGGATTTATTACTTATTTTCTTTATGGATATATGAAATTGCATTAGTTTGTTGTTGTTAATTTTTTGCCCCAATAGAATGCAAGCTTCACAAGGATTTGGGCTTTTGTCTCTCTTGCTCGCTTCCTTGTGCCCAGAACTTGGATGAGTCCATGAAACAATTGAATAAATAAGGACATCTAGGCTCTGATTACTGGTCACTGAGGGCAGCATATTTTCCAGGCCCTACAAGTACTCAATAACTATTAATTGTTTCACTCTCATGCCATATTGTAAGAGTCTTATTAAATTTTCTGCTTCTTAAAAATGGTTTTGAATTGCTTATAGTCATGTACACCTCTTAAAACACAGTGCATTAAAGTTTTTCTTTTTTTTAATTGGTGTGATGGGTAAGGTATCTATTGAGCCTTTTTTCAACAGATTTCTTGGTTAGTTCCTTTGCTTGAAAATATTCCAATTCTGGAAAGATCAAACTTCCTGCAGCTGTCACATCAGA